AAGTGTTCTCCAGATGTCTTTCCAAAAGGAACGCATTAGTTTGCATTCCCACCAGCAGTGTAGAAGTGTTCCCTTTTCTCCACATCCACACCAACATCTCTGGTTTTGGGATTTTGTGATATGGGCTAATCTTACTGGAGTTAGGTGATATCTCAAAGTAGTTTTGATTAACAATCAAAAGAATTAATCCTTATATGGCATTTGAAAATTTCTAACATTGTCATATATATTATCTCATTGAAGCATTATACAATTCTATAATTAGCTACTACTTTCCTTAGTTAATTGATAAGAAATCTGGAAGCACAAGGGTGAAATTAAGTAAATCCAGCAGAAGAGCTAGGAATTACTGCAATTTGCAACATATAGGAAATTTCCATATTTTTTTTTTTTGACTGGATTCTAATTCCACACCCAGACATACTGATGTTTGAAGAAATAGTAATATTAACATTGATTTTTTTTCCCTCCTAATAGTCAATTTGTGTCATCAGATCTTTCCTGCAGCATCTCTACCATGTCCTCTATGTCTTTCTGATGATGATATATGTAGGGAAAATTGTGTCCTGATCCATATACTAAAATATTCTTACTTAAGCTTGTTTTTGCATACCCTGACCTTTAGCATAAACTTATTTTCCACCATAGAGGCCTGAAGAGTCATGAGAATGGTATGTGAGCTGTATACACAGGAAGTTTTCTGCAGGAAGCCAGAAAACTGGTCTTCGCGGGAGAATGAGTTCATGATGTACGACAATACCAGGCCAAAAGGTTATGGTAAAGATTCTCTAGACTCCAGAGGTTACTTTATAACAGGGGCAAGGACTTGCTTAAGGTCTATGGTTTTGCAAGAACTAGTGCAACTACTCGGAGAACTCCAACTAGTTGGAGACATATTATCTGATGTTTTCCACATCCCTCCCTTTACTACTTATATTTTGATAAGTAATTTTCAACCATTTCTTCCTGCTTCATGATAGTATATACAGACCCAGGTTCACTCAGTAGGACTCAATCAGAGCTCCTCAATCCTCTACACACATACTCTATGTAAGTCTCTTCATTCCTCATGCTGAACTAACTCCTTTAGGTATGTGATGTTTACTTAACTGGCATGTAAACTGTTTGCATAAAATATCATGACATATGTTTTCATATTCCTGAAAATGATGAGGTGTTGTGATTGGACACTGGATTTCAGTTATATTCTTAGTCTCTGCCAAGTATCATAGGAAAATTATTGATATAGAAAATGAATCTAAACCTGGCCAGATGATTAAGATCATATTAACTTTTATCAATAATATTTACAGGGCTTTGAATAAAAGAACTCATAAATATTGAATATGATGGTGGGTTAAGAAAGAACAGTGAATTGTTAAAGGTAACTAATATTCAAGACTGACCGCAGTAAACACTTTAAAATCTGCATCATTTATTTGAGGGTAAACGTGATGGCAGAGTTTTGTATCTATCAGAAAGATATTAAAATGGTATATGTCCTTATTATTAAATAATCAGAAACAATTGGGGGATAGGATATTTTTGGAAGTACAAAAAGAATGTTCAATATTGGAAAGGAAGCAATAAAATAACATCAATTTCATCTGAAAGGGCTCAAAAGATAAATACCTTTTCCTAAGTACTTTTATAAGAAATGAAACCCTTGAAGTTCTTAGCACTTTAGCTTTAACCATTCACACCAACATTTTTTTAATAATCCTCAAAAATTACAATGAACTTTTTAAAACACTAGAACCCACTAAAAAGCCAGTGGGTTAAAATAAAAATTAAATTAAATTAAATTGCCACAGCAGATTTCCCAAATTCTCCTTATTATATTTAAGTTTTTAACAATATTACTTTCTTTGAGAAGACCCATCTTGCCACTTGTATTATTAATAGTAAGCCAAGAGGAAACAGTGCTTGCACTATGGCCAAAGAATATGAGATACTTAATGCTCTTAAACTGTACACTAAAAAAAGATTAAAATTATAAATTTTATGTTACATATTTTCTACCACATTTTTAAAAATAAATTTAAAAAAGGAAAATGAAAAATCTGACAGGATATAAGAATTTATCACATGCAAGAACAGGGAATTAAATCATGTGACCATGTGGTCAGGAAGCCAGCAGTTTGATAAGTAGACACAACAGTGTTGATTCAAGTCTCACTTAATGACAACTAAAAGAAAATTTTGTAGAGTGTGTTGAATTCCTCTTAAACGGCATTATAAACTCTGTAAATATATATTATTATTATGTACTCACAATAATCAAAATTATTAAAAAGAAACAAGATATGCCTTAATTGTAACAGTTTATAAAATTCACTTTGCCTAGTTTCAGGCCAATATAAGCTGATATAAAATAAACAACTTGGTATTTAAAAACATATTTATGAAAAATTAATTTCATGAAAGTGAAATTGATTAATGTTACTATAATATTCAATTTTATAAACACAAGGTTAAGGGTTACAACAAAGTTTTAAAATTTGGTTTGTTGAAAGAAAATATGTTTAAAAGAGAATTTCTTCCCCAATCCATTAACTTTATTTTAACAATAACATTTTTGCTCCTAAATAATAATAAGGCATTTGTAGGAAATTCTACTAATGTTCATAAATTCAATGAAATGAAATAATAGTAATTTGCATTTTCAGAGAAAAGATATGAAATTTGTCTATATGGTGTAAAAATTAGTTTAAAATGTTCTCACTCTCAAAAAGATACACTTAATGAAAAATAGATTTTATATGTATTCATTGCCATCCTAATTTTTCTCATTATTCAAAATTATTTCACATTTTTTTGATTTACATTGTTTTTATAAGAA